TTTCAACGACCTAGTGGTAAATCTGGCTATTTTTGAATTTCTNCCTACCAGCTATGTCCATTTATAAGTAGCTCATTATAAAAATTGGCCAATTGATAAAATATTACTAATATTAGCCAAATTAGCCAATTAGCTATTTGTAGCAAAAAAATATCAAATTTTTGCTTTGTTTTGAGTGGGTGTTATTAGAATAAATTGGGCACAACTTAAGGAGCTTGAATCTCAGTTTTTGGATGATTTGGTGAACTTTTGAGGTGGTTTGAATTGAAAATTCGAAGTAAAAGCTGAACATGAAAAAAAAATGATATGTGTATCACACTGTGTATCATTTGTGTATCACATATGTATCATATTTGTATCAATTGTGTATCACATGTATATCCATGTATACATGTGTGTGAGATACATGCGTGATACATGTTTGATACATGTGTCGCAGAAGACTTTTCAACTCGATTTAATTACGAATTTTGATACAAAACCAGTCCAAATCACCTCCAATCTTCCTCAAATTTTGTATATTGACTTATCTATATATTTTCAATGAATTTCAACTATACCCATTGAAAAAGTTCCTTTTTTGTTTAGATTTTTGGAATATTGTATAGATTTTTATATTTCATCACCTTATTTGCTACCCCGTCCATGAAATTTTCTTTCCGTCTTGTATCTAATGTTGCTAATCACGCTTAAAAATATGAAAGGTGATTTTTGCATGTGATTCTTTGAGAGAAAGAACCCTATTATTTGGTTTTTCAATTTTTGTTNTCGAGTGCTATGTTAATTTATATGCACTATACTTTTATGTGTTCATGTATAATTATTTAATTAAAGTATTACATTAATAATATGGATATTATTATACAAAAAAGCATATTATATGACTTGGCATACACGTGCAACGCACGTGCCGCAAAACTAATATATATATATATATATATATATATATATATATATATATATTTACTTATTTTAAATTTAAATACCCTGAAGAAAATTCTTAACTTCGCTTGGTATTGATAAGATTCATCATAGTAGGAAAACTGGGAAGCCGAGTTAAAGGAGAAATGGTTGGGCTCATTGAACTGTGATTGCGGCTGGAAGGTCGGCCTGTTGGGGTCACATTTGGGTTCAAGTGTGCAACAGGTTTGGGCTAGGGATAAGGATTTTTTGTAGAAATGACATCAGGTAACCAATCTAAAGCGTTACTATTTAGGAATTAGCCAGTGTGTTCTCAATTTTAATTTTTCAGGATAAAAATATTCTGAATTGTTCTGAATTTAAGATTTTTAGTTTAAAATCTCAAACAGAATAAGTTCTGGCTAATCTCTTAAGAGCATCCCTAAAATGACTATATGTACACTTGCGCCACAACTCGATACTTCCTTAGACGAAGGAGATGGAAGTGGCAATAATTGCGAGAGACTCTCGCTGATACCATTAATTATAAATAATATTTTATGGTGTAGCCAACTTATACACTGTACCATCTGTAGTTATACTTTAGTATCATTTGTATCTATTTTTAAATTTTATAGCAAATCCATCTGTAATTCTGTATTACAAGGGAGGAATTTTCCGGCAAATCCCTGTATTTCTTCATTTTGCCTTGATTTGCATCATATATGTAAATTTTTTCAAGTATGAGAGTTTTTTTTTTTTTTGCACCATGTATTTTTAACTATATTTTGTGGTTACGCACCCATGTATACATCCTTGTATCTTTGTATACATTCCATATTTTCGTATTTCGTCTTGGTTGTATTCATTGCGCGAATGAATATAGTTGATACAAGTTGCATTAGTTACGAGAACGATTATAGTTAACACAATGTATTTATTGTGCGAACGAATACCGTAAATACAAACGCCTCGGACAAGGAAAGGTTTGCTACGGATGGTAAATGAAACAATAATTGCAAAACTGTAGTGCTTTCTGAAATTTCCTCAATAAAATTTAAATAATCATAAAATGCACAATCATAAGTCAAAACTTTAAACGAAAGATATTTAAAAATATGAAAATGTGTATCTAAAGAAAAGACTTTTTGGATCCAAAATAGAGTGAACTAATGGAATTAATGGATACATGATGGCATGCTCATAATCCAAAGAACAACAATCGCACTCCACTTGAGCATTGAAAATGCATTTTATTCCCTCTAGATTTCATTAAACACTGCGTTTTCTAGCCTAATACGACAAATAAATATTTACTTTTATATTAACCTTCTAGTTGCAATTTTGCTGGACCTCAATCTCAATGTATCAAATAGCTAAGTTTTAACGACCGAGCACATGTGAGTTTCATAATTAGTTTTGAGATGCTAAGTCAATATTACAGGGGCACAACTGCAAGTAGATTTAAAAATGTAGCATTAATTCTCTGAATAAAATATAAAATGGGGCATAAATTTGGAGAAGAAAATCCATAAGTACGGATGATAACTCTTAAAGGCTATCGCAGTTTATAAATGTACGGTGTCAGCCCTCATTGGAAGTTTCCTTTTTCTTTTTTTTTGTTTTTAATTAAAAAAGGAGCAATGGTATAACGGTAGAGTTATTTCCGTGTGATCTATGAATTACGGGTTCAAGACGTGGAATCAGCCGCTGATGCTTGCATCAGGGTAGGTTGTGGTGTGACTCTTCCCTGGACCTTGCATGAATGCGAATGCTTCGTACACCGGACTATCTTTTTTCTTAATAATTGTTCTCTGCTGAGTGTCTGACCTTTTAAAAATAAAAAGAAAAACCAAGTCAAATAAATTGAGCTCAACTTGCATATTTGTTTAAGTTGAAAAAGTGCTACTAGTAGTTGCTTCTTGAATTTAGACGTGGGTTGCCTTAAACTAAGGCGATGTTGTTGCTGAAGCTATCCTCTTGTCTATGAGCCAATACCCATTATCTTTATTTCAATTAACTTGACGACCTGTATTTATGTTTATTTACATTTATTTTTTATAATACTTTCGTTCAAAGGAAAGGAAAATGAGAAAAATATTAATGTTTGTTATCTACAAGCGCACTGTTCTTGACAGTTGAATTATAAATTAAGAAATCATGGTCAACTTATCAACCATGTGTCCATGTTCTTCTGCTTTGCTTATAGGTTTTGATAACTTATTCTATTATTACTTATTTAATGAACAATACAACCCTTCATGGAATGCATGATCATTTCTTGGAATATAAATCAACGGTGTGGGTTTGGTGGCTGCTTTCCTTAGGTTCAATTTGGTTAGTTGATTTCAGAAATAATAGAGGATGAAATGAAATAAAGTCGTTTGAGATGATTTAGGCATGTCTTACGTCGGCTAGCATATGCAACTAGTCCATAAGACTTATAATGAAGTTGTTAAAAAGGGACGGCTAAACCTAAAATTACATGATTTTGTATTTTTGTGACCTTGCATAGTAGACTAAAAATTGATAATAATAGAATATTTTATGTCAACTGCCCCTCTATCTAACTTACTATTTCTTATAAAAGGTGAAAAATAATCAAACTTCAATAAAAAATGATGATAATAGATAAAATATTATTTATTTATACTTTAGAAAATTTTAAGTGATTTACTTATTGCCAAAAAAATTGTTGTGCAATTCCTTTGTAATATATAAGCAAATTGAGTGATTTTGTTACAAAAAAGTGATTTTTATATGGTAAAATAATGATTGAGTGATCACTTAAATTGTGAGTGTAAATATAGATGTAATCAAGAGTAATCCTAATTTCTTGTCATGAAAGCAACCTTTGTGATCTCTCTTACGAGTCGAAAATGAAGTGGTACGAACCGTATTCACCGTTCCTCAATTTACTTCAATCTTCAAATATTATTATTCTATTAATTAAACATCTTTTCATGTTTTTTCCTTAGAAATACGCCAAAGTTTCCTTATTCTGAAAAAACGACGTCAAATGTTCGTATCGATGCAACCACAAGACTTAGAATTAAAGTCGTATATCGTTTCGCGTTCACGCATGATTCGGAGAAGGACCTCTCCCAAAAAGAATGTGATGTAGGTAGCCTACCTTAATGCAAGTATCAATGACTAGTTCCATGTGTGGCTCGAACTTGTAACCTATAGGTCACACGGAAACACTTAATATGAACTCTTATACATGTCAAGCTCACGAAATATCTGCTACCATCTACTTCACTAAAGTACAAAGAGAAGGAAAGAAGTTACGTAAGTTTGTCTTTTCTTTCGGTAAATTCTTTTATTATTCATGTTTTAAAATTACTGGTTTTACTCTCACTTTATAAATTAGCTGGAATGGCGAGGCAAAATATTAGGGTTTAAAGTTGGATTAAAGAGATAAGGTATCAAAACAATAAAATAAACCAAAGCACATGATCGATAAGTTGACTATTATCCAATTCAGTAGCGACATTGCCGGTGGGGCGAGAAAAACAAATGTTGAGAATGAGAACTCTTCACTCTCTAATTCCTCTAATTTTCCTTCACTTAATCAGAGAAATAAGGGAAAGGAATGTTCAATTGAAGAAGAAAAAAACACTGGAGAAGAAAAAAACACTGGTTTTCAGACAAAGCAAAGTTCTTAGGAGTTATCTAGAAATGAGAAGAATTCTTTTACACAATCAGAATTTACACGTGGAGCTCCCTCAGGAAATCACATGGGACATAATAGATCAAATCCTCACCGTCCAGATTAGAGGATTTTTCTTTTTCTTATTTTTTCCATCAGATTATTCTCACATGTGTGAGATATGTGAATAAGCATTGTAAAGAATAATAGTGGTTAGTTAGTTATTCTCATAGCATATAGGATTTAGACAAGTGTACATTCCTTTATTCTTTCTAGATAGGATAACTTGTATATATAGACTGATGATTATGCAATGGAATACACAGAGAAAATTCCTAAATATTATCTTCTTTCTTTACATTCTTTCATGGTATCAGAGCAGTGAAGCTCGATCCATTATTCTCTTCACTCTATCTTATTTTTTCTCTTCATCTTCACCATCATCACCATGCCTGATAACACTGAAACTACTATCACCCAAACTCAATCTGGAAATGGAGTAACCTTCGATCCAAACCATCCCTACTTCCTCCATTCTTCTGATGCACCTGGAATGACTTCAGTGAATGCAATCTTCACTGGTAGAGGTTTTCAGGGATGGAGAAGGTCTGTGCTAATTGCACTTTCAGCCAAGAATAAGTTAGGCTTCATCAATGGAACATGCCCAGCTCCAGCTGCTACTTCTAAGGATTTTCAGCCTTGGAGTAGGTGCAATGACATGGTCAACTCCTGGCTTCTAAATTCCCTCTCCAAAGACATTGGAGACAGTGTTATTTACTCAAAATCTGCTAAGGATCTGTGGAACAGTCTTGAGCATAGGTTTGGACAGTCAAATGGTGCCAAACTCTATCACTTGCGCAAAGAATTATCAGGGTTAGCTCAAGGAACAACTGATATAGCAGGATACTTTACCAAACTCAAACGTTTATGGGATGAGCTAGACTCTCTGAATTGTGATGTCAGGTTTGTATGCTCTTGTGTTTGTGATGGAAAGGAAAAGTTAGAAAAGTCCTTAGAAGATGAAAGGCTAATTCAGTTTCTAATGGGATTGAATGACTGTTATGGACAAGCTAGAGGAAATATTTTCATGATGAACCCTTTACCCAACATCAATCATGCCTATACTTTGGTTCTACAAGATGAAAACTAGAGAGAAATCTATGCTAATCCTCTAATTTCTGCTGATTCATCATCTTTCATGGTGGGAAATCAAGGTAATTTTATGGTTCAAAGTAACTATCCACAGAAGAATGGAAAACAGACACAAAGGAATTTTGGACAATTCAGAAGAATAACACAGAAGAATCCAACATTCAAGGGAAAGAAAACCAAATTCAATCCAAATGTGTCTTCTAGCTATTGCAAGAAGATAGGGCACACAATCAATGACTGCTATAGAATCATAGGTTTCCCTGATGATTTTGAGTTTACCAATACCAAAGGAAACCAGCTTCAAGTTAGAGGAAATGGGGCATTTTCAGCTGATACAACAGAAGAACACAGTAACAATTGCAGTGAGCCTCTGTCTCAGCACCTCTCCAAGGATCAATTCTCACAGTTAATGCAGCTAATCAAGCAGGTTAAGGTTGGTGATGCAGGAAGTTCTAATCCAGAGATCAATGCAAATGTTGTAGCTGGTACTATTATCAAATATACTGGCTCCTGTTTTTCAGTTTTTAACTCTAGTACTTGGATTATTGATACGGGGGCTTCAGAACACATATGTTTTGATTCTAATGCTTTCCTATCTCTAACTCCTTTACCCTTTCCTCTACATATTAATCTTCCCAATTCCTTCAAGCTAACAGTCACTCATGCAGGCAGAATTCTTATATCTCCAGAATACATTCTGGAAAATGTTCTGCATGTCCCTAGTTTTAGATACAACCTTCTATCTGTCAATAGGTTTTGTCTACAGTTTCATTGCATCATTTCACTTACATCTAGTCACTGTCTGTTGCAGGCCCCTTTAATGAAGAGGCCTCAAGTTTTTGGTGAAGCAAAGGAAGGATTATACCTGTTGGAGCCTAGAAAGGCTAGATGTAGTTCACAACCTAATGTAGTTTCATTTCCTAATCACAATGATATCAATCAAGTTTCAGTTTTCTTTCCTATTTCTGCAAGTGCAATTTCTAATGTAAATCTTTGGCACAATAGATTGGGGCATTTGCCTTTCCATGCAATGAAACAGTTCAATTTTATTTCAATCACTTCTAATTCTGATTGTTTTTGTGATGTGTGTCCTAGAGCTAGGCAAACTAGACTCTCTTTTCCTTTAAGTCAAATAACATCCAAAAGAGTATTTGAACTGATTCATGTTGATACCTGGGGTCCTTACAAGGTACCTACCTACAATGGTTTCAAATATTTTTTAACGATAGTGGATGACTTTAGCAGAGGCACCTGGACCTTTCTGCTGAGTACAAAAGGAAATGCATTTGTAGTTTTAAAGAATTTTCTCATCATGGCTGAAAGACAGTTTGGGGTTAAGGTGCAGAAAGTGAGGACTAATAATGCATTTGAATTAGGGAAGGGTTCACAAGAAGCAACATTTCTGCTTTCTCAAGGCATTCTTCATCAGAAGCAACACCAGGAAGATTCTTGTGTCTAGGGATGTGACCTTTCATGAAGACAAATATCCCTTTGCCTCAATCAAGTCAACTCCACTTCCCATTTTTTCCTATCCTATCCCTGCCGATGTCAACCCTGATATTTCCCCATCTGCTCCCTTGCCCACTGAACCTGTTCCACCTGTTGCACCAAGTTCTGATCCTCCTTCTTCACCCTCTCCTTCTCCCTCTCATCTCAGTCCACCCTTCTCCTCTTCACTCTCCCTTTCCCCATCTCCTATACACTCACCTTTCAGTTCTGCACCCTCTCACATACCTTCACCAGCACTTAGAAGATCCCTTAGGGTCTCTAAATTGCCCTCACACCTTAATGATTACATATGCAACGATGTGTATCTAACAGACCTCACCTCCTCTTGTTTTGCTCAACCTAGTGACCCAGCTGTTTACTCCTTTGCAGCCTTATCTCATCACAATCAACACCTTATACAATCTATCTCAGCTATCTCAGAACCTAATAGTTTTTCACAGGCTTTTGCACATCCTGGATGGAAACAAGCTATGCTTTCTGAAATTGAAGCTTTGGAGAGGAATCACACTTGGGATGTGGTTCCCTTACCACCAGGCAAAAAGGCTTTACCCTGTAAATGGGTGTACAAAGTAAAGCACAATTCTGATTGGTACTATTGAGAGGTTGAAAGCTAGATTAGTCGTGAGGGGGGATATACAAAGAGAGGGTATTGACTACACAGAAACCTTTTCACCCGTAGTCAAAATGACTACCATCAGATGTTTACTAGCAGTGGCCACCAAGAAAGATTGGCCTATTTATCAACTAGATGTCAGCAATGCTTTCCTACATGGGGACCTACAAGAAGAGGTCTATATGAGGTTTCCAGCCGGTCTTTCTCCTCCTAGTCCTAACCATGTGTGCCTTCTTCAAAAATCTTTTTATGGACTTAAACAAGCTTCCCGGCAATGGTATGCTCGGCTTGCTGGTGCTTTGAGTTTCAAAGGTTATTCCTCCTCCTTGAATGACTATTCCTTATTTTTTAAACGACAAGGGAATTTGACATCTATTGTTGCAGTCTATGTGGACGACATTCTCATTAGTGGGAATGATTCAGTTGAAATTGCTGGGCTCAAGTCATTTTTACATACAGAATTCAAGGTGAAAGACTTAGGAAATCTCCATTATTTTCTAGGCAAGGAAATATTGCGCGAAAAAGAAGGAACAATTGTATGTCAAAGGAAATTCACCTTAGATCTGCTCCAAGAATTTGAGATTGCAGCAACTTCCCATGTATCTTCTCCATTGGAACCTTCTTCCAAACTTCACTCTAATACAGAACCTCTTCTTCCCAATCCCACTGTGTATCGACATCTTGTGGGTAAATTGAATTACCTCACCCACACACGGCCTGATTTGTCATTTGCTGTTCTCAAGCTCAGTCAATTTATGCAAAGTCCTCGCCTTTCCCACTTCAACGCGGCTCTCCGAGTATTGCGTTACCTCAATCTCAATCCAAGCCAGGGCATTATTTTGAACTCTCAACCTTCTCTTGATCTACTTGCTTTTTGTGATGCAGACTGGGGGTCTTGTCCTGAAACTAGGCGATCTGCCAGTGGTTTCTTCATTTCTCTTGGTGGATCTCCCATTTCTTGGAAGTCTAAGAAGCAAGACTCCATCAGTCTCTCCTCTGCAGAGGCTGAGTACCGTTCAATGTGCCGAGTTGTGGCAGAACTCACTTGGCTCACTCGTCTACTTGAAGATCCCTCCATCTCTTCTTCCTTGCCAGTGCCCGTTTACTCCGATAGTAAAGCTGCCATCAATATTGCTCGAAACCCTGTCTTTCATGAACGTACCAAGCATGTTGAACTCGACTGCCACTTTGTCCGGCAGCAGTTCCTCTCCAGTCTCATTTCCCTTTCCTTGGTTCCATCCTCCTCTCAATTAGCCGATCTGTTCACCAACAGGGGTGGCAATTGGGGCAGGGCGGGGCGGGGCAAGCCTTGACCTGCTAATATTTTGACCCGCCCTGCCCTGCCCTATTTAGAATTTTTTCAAATTTTGCCCCGCCCCGCCCCGCCCTACTCTCTTGTAATTTTTTTTTCTAATTCTGAGAAGTGTTATACTGTATACCATTAAGCACATAAATTATAAACTACGCAAAAAATAATGACACAATTGGTCCTCGCCTACACAAGTCTTGCAGAAGTACTCATGTATATGAGTTGGTCGCTTTAACCATTCTACCATCGATACTTAGCGGGGATCCTAGGCTTCTTCAAATGTTATCTTTACTAATATTAATCTACTTACAAATACATAAACCTTGTATCTACTTTTACACTTAATTCAAGTAAAATGCTACTCCTATTATTAGTACTCAACAGAATTGCTGGATTCATTTAACTATAATGGGTTCATCTGAAAGCACTGCAATGAACTCGGATAAAAGAAAAGATGGGGAAAATGTGGAGCAGTTTCATTTACTATCATAGACATCAATGCATATATTCTAATTAACTCCAACAGTTTCACACTGCAATTTAACTTGAACAACATGGGTAACAAACACTAATAATTACGAGCAAAAACAATAAAGATAAAATTCTTTTCTTTTTTGCTTTTGGTCATTTTGATAGTTTCAGCTTCTCGCCTTCAGCAGCAATATCAGTATTGACACCAGCTCCATGTGAAGAGAGGTTTTTTCATCATCTATACCAATTAGCAGCAGCATCAGCGATAACACACCGCCAAGAACTTTTTCCTCAGTCCTCAAACACAGCAACAAATATACATATGGTGAAGCAATGTGAAACAAACTCATAAAACCCCCACCATAATTCTTAAGCAATTCTACGAAGGGTAAAGCAAACTGAAACCACAGTTTCATCTTTTTGTTTCCAGTTACTGGTGGAAAAACCTTATCGAACCAACTCGTAACTTGTTCACCAAAATTCTTAAATAGTTGTAACCACTTGAGAAACACAATCTATTAACCATGAAGAAAAAGCTGTGAGTTTTACAAGGAACATTTAACAGCTACAAGTAGGCCGAAACCATACTTAAATTCAAACAGTACCAACAGCAATAAAAACAGATACTATAAATTGAAACAGTAACTATGTGGCAATCCAAATTTGAGAGGAACAAAAGGGATGTAAGCATGTCAAGGGTCTCATAGTTGCGATAAACCACTTGAATCCGGCTCGTCCTCTTCATCAAGCAATGTTGGACATGAAACTTGATCAACGGTTGAAGTCAAACCTAAAAGGAAAAATGCATAGTTCAATGTATCAATATCGTATTAAACTATTGAATACCTATTAAGACAATAATGAGAAAATTACTTACCATTTAAGTCATTCCATAACCACGTGCGAGCACACATTAAAGCTTCCAAAGTAGTGGGGTGGAGTCTACTCCGATGCGGGCTAATCAACCTCCCACTAGTGCTAAATGCCGATTCTGAAGCAACGCTAGACACGAGAATGGCTAAGAGATCACGAGCCATTTTTTGCAATGTAGGAAATTTCAATCCATTTGTCTTCCGCCAACTCAAATTGTCAAATGAAGGGGTTCGAGGTAGTAGGTCTTCTTCTAAGTACATATCCAACTCTGATCTTTTCTCCACGGTAGCTCCAGTTGAAGCTACAAATCTATCAAAGCTCGAAGCCGATCACCCTGAGTAAAACTAGTGACTTCACTAGAACTAGATGCTAATGAATCATGTGGAGCAGATAATTTACTCTTATAATCTTGAAAGAGATCATAACAATTGGATCGAACTTCTTGAATTTTAGTTGAAGCTTCTTCACCATAAATTAGTGGAAGAAAGAACTCTACCAACCTCATCTTGTACCGTGGATCAAAGATTGCAGCTACTCCCATCAAAATATGCACATCATCCCAATATTTTTTAAATTTCAACAACATGGCAGATGCCATATCGCTAATCAAAGGATTAAGCTCTTTCACCCAAGCTTCCAATTCTAGTTTAATTTCACAAACTTTTGTAAAGTATTGACTAGAAGTTGGATATTGAGTTCCTGAAAACTGTTCAGTGATATGATAAAAAGTTTGAGCTTATCAGAAACATCTTCTGCATTACTCCATTGCTCTTCAGTTGGATACGACTTATAATTTGTGTCAGTTAGACTCAACTTGTTAAACACCTCTTTGTATTCTATACCTGTTCTCAACATTAAATATGTTGAGTTCCACCGAGTAGGACAATCATACTCCAACTTCTTATAACAAGAACAGTGAACCAAACGTGCGGCTTCTTCAAACCTCTCAATTCTGCCAGCTGATCCGATCCAATACAAGACACCATCACGCACTTTGCTAATACTATCTCCTATCACTTTTAACCCTTCTTGCACAATCAAATTTAAAATATGTGCAGCACAACGCACATGAAATACTCGACCAGTCAACAACAAATCATTTTTATTGAGTTTCTCATCCAATAAAGTTTTAATCATAGCATTGTTTGTGCTAGAATTATCAACTGTGATAGTTGATATTTTTCGTTCAAGATTCCAATCAAACAAACAATTAACCAAAGCACCACACAAGGCATCTTTATCATGTGGAGCAGGGACATAAGCAAATCTCAAAATATGACTTTGAAGCCTCCATGAATCATCAATGAAATGACCAGTAATAGCCATGAACCCTTTTTTGTTACTATTGGAAGTCCACATATCGGTTGTTATTGCAATTCTACTCGTGACTTTCTCCAACAACATAGAAGTTTGCGGTTTCAAATTTTCAAAGATTTTTATTATGTCATTCTTGATTGTATTTCTGGAAACCATCTTAAACATAGGTTGAAGACTCGCAACAAAGTTCCTAAATTCCACATGATCAACTATAGAGAGTGGATACTCGTGTAAAATAATGGCATGTACAAGCTTTTTACGTGAAACATCTTGATCAAAATAACCACCCCCTGTATCGCCCTCATTTTGTGCATCTCTTGGCCTATTAGGACACTTAAGCATGTGATCTAACATAGATTTTGTCCCACAATTCCTAGCATTTTTATACCGGCGATCGTAATACTTACAAGATGGAACACCCTTAACCTTCACTGGCTCGAAATGATCCCATGATTTGGAATATCTCATTTTTTTCGGTTCAACTTCATCAGGTTGTGAAGGCCGTTGACTCTCATCGTCTAAGGAAATAGCATTAGAAGATGAAGCTGGTAGATTCTCTTCAATTTGAGATGCCATGATTACCTAAAGCAGAAAGTGTATCAAGCAATTAACATACTTTAATAATGAACTTAATTCTCTGAAACAAGAAACCACAAATACAGATCTCGGAATATTCAAGAAATATGGGAAGTTAGTCTTTTGCACCACACAACCTGTTATTAGCATTCAAATTATAACCAAAAGTAAATAATATACAAAGGAAACAACAGATGTGCAGATTATTTTAAAGTTTGCCTCATCACTTCTAAAATTGCATTATACAGATTATAATTTCACTAAGCAATACAAATCCCATAATTAAATCCAAGAGGATGAACTACAACAGAGACTTTGCTCCTCCTTTTCTCCAAACAGGGATAGTAGAATACATAGATATTAGACAATACATGCTGACAAGCAGCTGTATTTGTTGAAGCTCTAAAACAACATTAGGCGTGCCCTCGTTACAGTTCTCAAAGAAATAGAAAAGAACTCAAATTCTTCGTATGCCTATTAGTCGAGAGCACGCCTATGCCTGCCTACAGAGTATCATCATACACAGAGGTGCTGAAATCGTTGAGGGCACTGTACTTTCTGTTGTTTTCAAAGAACCCCCTCCCTGAAAACCAAAACCATTGTAGCAAAGTACAAAAACAATAAAATTATACAAAGATCAAGACTTTCGTTCATTAGAAGGGAACTGAAAGCAGTAAGCATGAAAGAAACTTAGGCGACTGTATTAACTAGTGCAAAAGTAACATTCATATTCTGAGCGCCATAGATTAACTATTGCAAAAGCAAAACTTTTTGGTTTTTTTCAGCAAAACATTCTAATATTCTGTTGTAACTTTGAACATTTGAATTGGCCCGTCATTTCCCTTCGGGGGCATCCAACAAAATAAAAAATTTGTCCCTTATTTCAAAACATCACTCTACTAAGCAAAAAATCAAACACCTCGTAGGCGGCAAGAAATATCAGGAAACATAGCAAAAAAGCTAAAAGCCAAGAGAGAAATAAGAGTTGTTACAACGGAAAGAGAAGCTGAAAGTAAGAGAGCGTCACCTTGAAACTTATTGTTGTTGGAGATCGAATTTTTCCTGGAAGATTAGAAGAACTGAAGGGAAAGGTTTCTGACTTTTTGCTTTTGGGTTGTCCTTTGGAAGAGCCGACGAGGGCAGAGTGCTTGAAATGTGAAATGGATTCAAAGAGGGATTGAAAAAATTAATAAAACACGCGGGTCATTTCTATTTTACCCGATTCATCTATTAATTCGGACCTTGCCCTGCCCCAACCTATTAATTTTTAAAAAAAATAACATTTTACCCTGCCTGCCCTGCCCCATTTAAATTTTCCCCTGCCCCGCCCCATTAATAGTATACCCTGCCCCGCCCTGCCCCAATTGCCACCCCTATTCACCAAACCCCTTTCTGGACCTTCCTACAATTCCATTCTCTGCAAGTTGGGGGTTACTTCTTTACCCTCCAACTTGAGGGGGGATGTTGAGAATAAGAACTCTTCACTCTCTAATTCCTCTAATTTTCCTTCACTTAATCAGAGAAATAAGGGAAAGGAATGTTCAATTGAAGAAGAAAAAGACACTGGTTTTCAGACAAAGCAAAGTTCTTCGGAGTTATCTAGAAATGAGAAGAATTCTTTTACACAATCAGAATTTACACGTGGAGCTCCCTCAGGAAATCACATGGGACATGATAGATCAAATCCTCACCGTCCAGATTAGAGGATTTTTCTTTTTCTTATTTTTTTCCATCAGATTATTCTCACATGTGTGAGATATGTGAATAAGCATTGTAAAGAATAATAGTGGTTAGTTAGTTATTCTCATAGCATATAGGATTTAGACAAGTGTATATTCCTTTATTCTTTCTAAATAGGATAACTTGTATATATAAGCTGATGATTATGCAATGGAATACACAGAGAAAATTCCTAAATATTGTCTTCTTTCTTTACATTCTTTCAACAAATAAGAAATTTAAATTTTAAAAGTGAATAGAATAATACAATATGCCTTTTAATTTCTCAAATAATGAACTCGAGATGTTCAAATGAATGTTAAGAAAGAGATGACACCGAAATCTTAGCCACCCCACGCCACGTCTAATTCAACAAGAAATTATTAATTTAAGTTATATATACTTATAAAATAAAAAGTAAAGATAAACGCAAGTGGAGCTGAAATAACATGTGAACAAGTTTTTTATGAATAAAATAATTTTGAAGATACGTACAAACTGCGATAGCCACTCAGTATTATCATTTGTACGTAAGTCGTACTTATAAGATTTTCATTGCTTTATGGGAGTTCAATCCTGCATTCCTGCTAAATTCTACTTTCAAAACATATCCTTGCATGTTGACTAGCTAGGTTTATAATTCAAAAATAAATAAAAAATAAAAAGACAAGTTACATGTTATATCACGTAAACGTAATCGGAGGGTGTAAACAAAAAATTCTATAAACTGACAGTATATATATTGTTAGTGTAAAAAATCTTTTATTGGTGAATTTCTCCAAATCTTGACTTGTCGTTTATCAGATTCGGATGGGAGGGGGGGGGGGGGGGGGTCTTAATTAATTTCTGTCTAAAAACTAATATTAAATTGCTCTAACCATTAAATCAAAATTAAAAAAAAAGGAAATGACGATAAGTCAGTAAATTAATGTTGAAAGTTGAGATTAGAATTATTTAAGTTGCAGGGATTCATGTGCCATTTAACTAGATTTAGTAAGATTGGGAAGTTCTGATACAAGTGTTTGAAACCTAAATCTGATACCAGAGTTTATTTCTCTAGATATATATGAGAGCAACTTTAATTATCGTTGTTATGTAGGTTTTGGAAATATACAACCTAAAATCCATTTTCATGCATCCAATGAATGTACAAATTACAAATTCTCTCTGTTCTTTTTCTTTTGGTTTTATGCTTACTATTATTAGTAAAATTTGTAATATTATCTTTTTGTTATTTTAATTTTAATTTATAAAACTATAGTTCTATTAAAGTTTTTTATTGTTTAGCTAAATGTTGTGTAATTTAATTTAAAAATATTGGTACACCATTCATCGAAAAAATAATTATTGACTTATTTAAAGTTTGAAAACCCTTGGCGAAATTTCTAGCTACGCCGCTGGTCACCAAACTCTGTTAACACCGGCAAAAATTCTAGATTTGTATGTGCATATATGTTTAAAACGGTTATATATTTATCTTGGAACTCTTAAAATCAAATGTCTGATGCGGCATGCGCACTGGTTGAGTTGTCCGCTCATGTCCGCTCATGTGCCTTAACCACTAGGATAGGGCAACTATAGTACAGCAGCACAGTACAAAGCTTGCTTAAATAAAGAAAAAAAATTACTGCATTCAGCTAAGTTTAAGCTGCTGCCTTTAAGTTGATCAGTTCATTCTAGTAATTTTAATTGTTGCACATTAAATGGAGTACAAATTAAGGGTTGTTAAACACTTAAACACATCATAATTAAACAAATAGACAAATAACAGTACTTCCGCTATTTTCTTCTATTTTACAAAAGCATACCCATGTGATGCCAATGTGTACAATACGTGTGCTTTTTTAATGTCAAACTCTCTGAAACTCTATAAATACCTTAACCTTTAGCATTCCCATATCTCATTAATTTGCTACTCCACAACCACTTAGCCCTTCTCTAAGCCTTTAAAGTTTTGTTTCTAGACAAAAATGGCTACTTTTGAAAGTCCCCTAGGTAGCTCAGTGCATGGATTAACTAGCACAGAACAAACATTTGCATTTTCTGTTTCTTCACATAGCCATAATAACCCTGATAATAATAGCCTAGCCACAAAATTTGATTTGCCAGTTGATTCAGAACACAGGGCAAAAGCTATGAAAATCTTCTCATTTGCACAACCCCACATGAGATCTTTTCACTTAGCCTGGATTTCGTTTTTCGTGTGTTTTATCTCCACTTTTGCTGCTGCTCCTTTAGTTCCTATTATTCGCGATAATCTTAACCTAACGAGATCAGATATTGGCAATGCCGGGGTTGCTTCTGTTTCTGGTAGCATTTTCTCTAGGCTAGTAATGGGTGTACTATGTGACTTAATAGGTCCAAGATATGGCTGTGCATTTCTCAACCTTTTAACAGCTCCTATTGTTTTCTCTGCTGCATTTGTCTCAAATGCTGAGGGATATTTAGCTATGAGATTTTTAGTGGGATTTTCATTAGCTACATTTGTGTCATGTCAATATTGGGTTACTGTTATGTTTAATAGCCAGATTATTGGACTTGTTAATGGTGTTGCAGGGGGGTGGGGTGATATGGGGGGTGGTGTTACTCAACTTCTTATGCCTTTTCTTTTTCATATAATTCAAATAATTGGGGCTACTCCGTTCACTGCATGGCGTATCGCCTTTTTTATACCAGGTTGGTTACATATTATTATAGGACTTATGGTCTTAACTCTTGGTCAAGATTTTCCTGATGGAAACCTTAGTACTCTACAGAAAAGGGGTGATGTTGCCAAAGATCAATTTTCAAAGGTAATTAAATTCTGCCCCATGCATATATAAACTAGTAATCAATTATTATAATTAGCACAAGTTGACTGATTTTGGTTTTATATTCTTTTTCTGTATAGGTTCTTCAGTATGCAGTTACAAATTATAGGACATGGATCTTTTTCTTTGTCTATGGATTTTCCATGGGAGTTGAGCTCTGTATCAACAATGTCATAGCAGAATATTTTTTTGACAAGTAAGTTTTTTTTATATCTCAAGCATCTTATAACTAGTAAAAAAATTCTACATTGTCAGAGTGTAGAAATTAACAGCTTTTTTGGATGATTGTTACCTGTTTTATCGTATCATACTGTTACTTTAAATAAATTATTTGTTTTAATTGTTACTTAAATTTTATTGTATAACAACCGATTTGGTGTGGCGCATCATTACCCTGTTTTTTCCTCTGGTTTTTCCCTTTCTTCTTATTAAATAATATATTTTATCCTTCACCCTACCTTTTATATAATAATTTTACCTCGTATCCTACTTTTTCTTTGTAATATTCCAAGTTTATTCTTCATATTTTGGTACATTAAATCATGAAATGACGATAAATGATACATTTTATCCAAACGTTGTATTCATCAAAATTAATATAAGGAAAAATGACACTATACAACCGCTATAAAAATAATAGCCGAAAGATATATATAAAATTTGTATATATACATATTTTGTATGTTATATATTATACAAATTTTATACACTTTTTCGGCTACCAGATGTAAATAATTTCTGGCGCGAGCTAAAAGTGATATAACCATCCAAACAAGTTGTAAACGTCGCAACTTCAACTTACACAACTGACCATGCATATTACTCAATGTTGATAGGTTCAATCTGAAGCTACACACAGCAGGAATGATAGCAGCAACATTTGGAATGGCTAATTTTGTGGCACGTCCATTTGGAGGATATGCATCTGATTTAGCAGCTCGAAAATACGGGATGAGGGGCAGGTTATGGGTCCTATGGATCGTACAAACACTAGGAGGAGCCTTCTGTATTTGGTTGGGCCGAGCCGAATCTCTTCCTATAGCCATAGTTTCAATGATCCTCTTCTCTATCGGAGCACAAGCTGCATGTGGTGCAACTTATGGAATCATTCCTTTCGTTTCGCGAAGATCGTTGGGCTTGATTTCGGGCCTCACTGGTGCTGGAGGAAATTTCGGTGGTGGATTAATGCAATTGCTTTTCTTTTCAACGACAAGATTTTCAACATCAATGGGGTTAACTTGGATGGGAGTAATGGCTGTAGCATGTACAATTCCAGTGGCTTTTATTCATTTTCCGCAGTGGGGAGGTATGTTTTTTCCAGCTTCAAAAGATGAGAAATATGATGAAGAGCATTATTATGGTTCTGAATGGACAAAAGATGAAAAATCAAAAGGATTACATCAGGGAAGTGTTAAATTTGCAGAGAATTGCCGGTCTGAACGTGGGAAAAAACATATTGTTTCTTCGATAGACACTCCACCTTACTCTACAGAACATGTTTGAAGAAATCGTAGAAGAATAAAATAAATGTATTTCTGATGTATTAGTGGGAGTGTGATTGGTTGTTACTCTGTAGTATTATGAGCTTACAACCATGAATCCGTTGTAGTTTTTAATGTAAATAACTCATGAGCAATAAGATTTCCTTATAATCTATGGTTCCTATGACCCTTAAAAAAATTTATTCGCTAATTCTCACAATTTATATGGAAATTATCATGGTTCCCTCAAAGGCAGAGGCAAATTCAGAATTTTAAGTTTATAGGTTTCTACGTCGACTTTAAATTAATATATTATAATAATCGTATTAAAGAACTTGGTTCCCAATTACTAAATAATATTCTTATACATTGAGTTATTTTCTTAGTACAAATCCGGGATCTAGCCAAAAGCTATTGGGTTCCCGGGAACCCATATTCATACCTTTAGATCCGCCTCTCCTCGAAAGGGTGCCTAGGAGCAACGGTAAAGTTATCTGACCTATAGGTCACGGGTTCAAGTCGTGGAATTGCAGTTCACTAATGCTTGCATTGAGTCTGTCTACATCACACTTCTTGAGGTGCGGCTGTTCCCCAGACCCTACGTGAATGCGGGATGCCTTGTGTATCGAGTTGCCCTTTATTATAGTTCCCTCGAAAGAAATCGCGAACCGGGAAACTCCTATTTGTACAATTAAATATCAGTATGTGCAATTTAATTATTACTATTTGAAGTTTACATCCCTTATTTTTTGTTCAGATGAAAATTATTATGCAAATCAGAACATGAGCAGAAGTGACATTACTAAGTCAATGAAAATATTAATGCAATTAGCCTTATTAAGTTATTATACTCTTCCAACGTTGGGATCACACCTTTTCATTTACATTGTGTCTAGGTAAGTAGATCACAAGTGTTTTCATGGTATCGTATGCTCTCTATCCCAAAAAGTTGGAATTTATATATTGTTAAAAGTTGAATTGTTGAAAGCAATATCTACATTTTCTAGGTTTATTTGTTTCTTAATATTTTTGTTTTTTGTCTATACATTTACTTCATACAATATGTAAGATTAATGGAGAAAATAATTTCTAAAAGTCCACTATTCCAGTCTTATAACCCAAAGAGAGCTAAAACTCTATACGTATGAGACTTTCCTCTCTCTTTAATTTTCTCGAGGCACGAATTCAAGAAAGAACCGAAGATTTTTATAATTTGTGATCTTAAATATATTATAACATTTAATTTATGTTGCTATAAAAGCTTGTAATTACGGATAAATTTAAAATTTAAAATTAAGTTTGCAAATATAAAATATTTCATTATATTTTGGGACAAACTTAAAACAACAGAATGTCACATAAAATGAAATAGGGGTGTATAAATGAAACCGACAAACCGCACCAACCCGATAATCCGAGTCAAACCGAGAAAAAAAATTCGACTATGGTTTGGTTTGATTTGGTTTGGTGTTGGAAAAAAAAACCCAACCATATTTTGTTTGGTTTTGGTTTTAACTAAAAAAGTCAAACCGAAACCAAACCAACCCGATATTATATGTATAGAAATTTTAAATATATTTAATACATAAAAATATTTATTGTAGTGTAGTTTATAAATATTTATTAAACTTTTTCATAGTTTTATCTTTTCACGTATTATTTCAAGCTTGGACTTATAATTTTTGGATGCTCCAATAAGTTTTATAGTTCATAAAAAAAACTCAAATAAATCTTAAACCAATATAAAATCAATACTAATGTTAATAAAAGACATTCAATTCAATTGTACTATGAATGAAAATAGTGTTGGATATTTATTTTTTGGTTTTTCCGTGGTTTAGATAAAATGCATAACTTATTTTTCTTTTAGTGTTTGGTCATGTAAATAATATAGTACTTATTAGTCGTACTTATTTTAGCAACTTATTAGTAATTTCAAATTATGTTTGTTTTTATTATGGCTTATTAATAATACTTATTTTATGCGATTTTATTATCTTTATTGTTGAATATTTTAGTACGATGCCATGACTCATCTCATATTTATGTTATTTTATTGAAAAAATACCTTATATAGTTCGATCTTACTAGGATTAAAGAAATATTTGGAGCACAAATTNATATATGTACACCCCTAAAATGAAATAAAGAATACTAATTTAAGTCTACTTGCAGTTATCTTGTCTGTTTTGTCTGACTAGCATCTTGCAACTAAATATGATATCCACATGTGCAGCTCAGTTCATCCTAAACCCAATTTGTATGGTATTTTTCAAATTTTATGAGTCAGATTTTTTAATTTTGACTGTGAACTCAGACATAGAACTAAAAGTGTTTTTAAATAAAATTTATATTTAGAAACTATATAAAAAGTACTATAAGTCATAATAATTAACAATTCAAAATATTTAAACGGTATATAAAAAATTACGATAAAAATAACAACTCGTTTGACTTTGTCAATAATTGAGACGAAAGGAGTAACAAATAAAAGATTTTTTAATATGAAATTTTTGTCACCATCCACCATTATCAACTACTACCATCCACCAAACACAATAACCTTCCTCAATCACAACCATCACTGTCGCCAATCACCATATTAATCAACGATATCACTATCTACCACTATATATCGATAACCATCGTTAACCATTAGCTATCACTATTATCCACCATAATTATTAGCAGCTACCATAAACTGCTATCATTAATTACTGTTACAACTACCATCACTACTAGCTACTATTGTATTCACCAACTACCACTGCTAGTCAGCACCCACAACCACCATCATATCTGTCACTACCACCAACTGTGATATTGCTTTTAAAAAATATTTATTGATATAGCATTAGATTAATTAATATTTATTTAATTTATTGATTTTAAATAAAGATACATTCTATATGTACCCTCAGATGTTGAAAAACTAAATAGTCTTAGTTATTTAGTATTCAAATAATATATATCTTTATATTTAAATATATAGTGGTGTGCATAATTTGGTAACGGAAAATTTTGTATTTGGCGATATTTTGGTATTTGGTATTGTATTTAATTTAAGTTTTTAAAAAATATTAGCATTAGGTATGATATTCATTATTCAAAAATAAAATACCGAAATACATACTAAGTTTCACAATTACATATTATTGATTGTAACATAATATTCAAGTTTTACTTTCCGTTAAATTTATAGTTCTCTTTAAACTTGACCTTTTTTTTCCACGATTCTTGCCTTTCCACCTTTTCTTTGGTTGCGTACTTACATTTTAACATTTCTCCCGTCTAGGTTTAGTATGTTTTGTCACGACCCAGATCCACTAAGGGTCGTGGTGGCGCCGGACATCGCTGTCAGGCAAGCCAATCAAACTACTTAATCAAATTCTCATCTAAATACTTTCGAAAACACTTCTTTTATACATTTAAAACAATACATAGTAAGTTCCTCCGAATTAATAATGAAACATTTAACAACCTTTAAAATTTATGAACAAACCCAAATACATTCCAGAACCCGGTGTCACAAGTACATGAGCAATTTCTAAGAATTAGTATAATACAACATCCGTCCGGGATACAGTGGACAAAAAATAAATACAATATACTGGAAAGGACTATACTAGCTGCGGGCCGCCTTGAATAATGCAACTCACCTAGTCCCCAAATCATCCGTGCTGCTACGCCCAGTAGGCCACTAGAGTTACATATACCCGTGCAACAAAAATGCACAGAAGTGTAGTATGAGTACGAAAACAACGTGTACTCAGTAAGTATCCCGCCTAACCTCGAAGAAGTAGAGACGAGATGGTCGACTTCGACACTTACTAAGGGTCCAATAATGTGATGTCAATAAAATATTAAATCGCGGATTTCTATAAACATGATTTCAATCCAATAGAAGGAAACAAGTGATCAATTATTTTCTTTTATAGGAAATTTCCAAAATTACTTTTCATTATTTATCCAAATATTATCAAGCCATGAAGGGGCAACAACAACTTCAATAAGTTCAAGGCAGCAATACAAGCATGCTCAAATAACACCGTGGTACGTACGGCCCGCTCCAGCAGAAAATAAACTGTGCACTACCGAGGGTCGAACGACGCGAACCATAGATGCATCTATTACCCCGATCGCGAACTATCCATGCGACGCGGTCAACATAAGATAAACAATCACCCTACTCGCGAACCATACATGCGACGCAGGTACACATAGAAATACATGCTCAGATAGCCAATTAAGAATTTATCGGGGAATATTTATTCCAAATAAAAGCCACTTTCTCTTTTAACAATTTAAGAACATGAAGTTTAATCCTTTTAGAAGTTCCTCTACTAATTCAATGTGATTTAAGCAATTCAAGCTGTCAATAAGATTACAGATATTCCAAATATAGCATGCTTTGGGTCCTAAACTACCCGGACAATAGCATAATAGTAGCTACGCACGGACTCTCGTCACCTCGTGCGTACGTATCCCCCAAAAATAGGAGCACATATCCAATTAACTCACCTATGGGGACAATTCCCTCTTACAAGGTTAGAAAGGAGACTCACCTCGCTCCGCAGATCCATAACCGGCATTCCACGCCCTTCCGAAGACTCTAATTGATGCACCACGCTCCAAAACTAGCCAACGGTTACGCAAATCTATTAATATATGCTCAATTATTCATTACAATCTAATTTATAGCAATTCCTAACTCCGATCGAAAAGTTGACCAAAACGCCCTCGGGCCCACGTGCCCGGAATCCGATTCGAAGATAAAGGTTACCCATGATCTTAGGAACTCAAATATATAATTTTCACTAAATTCCATACTCAATATCGTGGTTAAATTCCAAGAATGAAATTTCTAGGTTTTCCACCAAAACCTCAATTTTTCTACAATTTCCAAGTCTAAATCCATACATAATTGATGTATTTAACTCAATATAGGTGGGAATATCTTACCTTAATGTTGATGACGAAAATCCCCTCTTGAAGCTCCCCAAAATCGCCCATGCCAAGTGAAAAGTGAGAGAAGAATGGCCAAAATCCGATTTTAAAACAATCATTCTGCCCCAGCATTTTTCGCACCTGCGGTCCAACGACCGCTTCTGCGGTTCCGCAGGTGCGGTCCAAATACCGCATATGCGGTCCTCCCTGGGCCACCCCAATCTCGCTTCTGCGA